GATCAACGTGTAAAGATTATGTCTGAAATAATTAAATCAATGCGTATCGTCAAAATGTATTGTTGGGAAATGGCATTTGATAAAAAAATTCGTCATGTGAGAAGGTAAACTTTCTTATTATCGTACTAACTTATAAAATCGAATTTGCTTTATTTTAGACGTGAAATTATTCAATATATGTGTAGTTTAATGTTCGAATGTGCTCAACTGCTCTTTTCACATACATACATCAATGTAACATTTCTGATGATGTATGGAACAATGTGGTGGTTCAATATTCGATTTGATATACGTTTCTTTGCAATTGCATCCTGTCTGCTTGGTCAAATGAGATTAAGTGTTGTCGAATTTTTTAATAATGCTGTGAGAAGTCTTGTTCATTATATGGCTGCTCAAAAAAGGATACAGATCAATTTTTGTACTTCTATCGATGAATGTTATGAAATAGTATTTATTATAGACATTTCTTTTACTTGACGAATCCGAACGAGACAATCGATTATTGTCTCGATCACATTCAGAACTTGCGTGTATCGAAAAAATTGAACCGACAATAGTGAAAAATATTCAAACACAATCACCAAAAGTTATATGCAATTTGAAACGAGCACAGTGGGAAAAGGTATACTTCTGTGTAAGGCGATGAAAAACAGGAGAGAGTTTTCCGTCTAGAAGTTTCTAAAAATCTTACAGATTTGTTCATCTTACACTTTGCTAAGCTTTACAATGATTTGCACGACATCTTATGAAGAGTCTTTTATTAGTCAGATCTTGATATTTAATATAGTACAAAAGGATGTAGAATTTCTATCAAATGGAAACTTAGATGAAGAAATGTTTTTAATACTTAACAAACTTAGCTCAACAGAAAACGTACAATTCATATGCACTAAGGAATAATGTAGTCAATTTTTGTATATGTTAAGATCGATCCAAATTTCTGCTCTAATTTTTCTTACATAAGAAAATCCATCAAAAAAAAAAGTTTAGCTGATTAAACTACTACAAATATGAATGAATGAAACAATACTTTTGACTTTTGAATTATCTGCAACTTGAATCGTTGAACTAAAATTGATATTCTACTATTTAGAATGGATCATTCTGTCTTAAAAACATTGTATTCGATGCTCATCCAGGTGATTTGATTTGCATCATTGGACCTGTCGGATCTGGAAAGATCTGTTTATTTTGTCAAAAATTGATGTTCATGAATGTTCATATATATAGAGTTCTCTTTTGCAAACACTCACTGGTGAAATTACAATTTTTGATGGAAAAGTTCGAATGCATGGTTCATTCTGTTATGTACCACAAGAATCATGTGAGTAATATCAATTAATAGAAGAAAATTTATTCTCTTTGATTGAATTAGGGATATTTTCTTCAACTATTAAAACAAATATTCTCTTCGGCAAAGCATATGATCATAATTTATTTCGAAATGTTGTTAAAGCAACTGCGCTCGATATAGTATGTAGAATTGAATATTTAACATATATACATTTATAATAAATAGGATTTTGCTCAATTACCTAATGAAGAAAATACTCTTGTTGGTGATCAAGGTGTTATGTTGTCTGGAGTGAGTAATACATTATTTGATATACATCTTAGATGATAAGCTGATAATCATGTAGGGTCAAAAGGCACGTGTTAATATGGCTCGAGCACTCTATCGTAACGCAGATATCTATCTTCTGGATGATCCTTTATCTGCTGTCGATGTCAAAGTAGCTAAACATCTCTTTGAAAGGTAAATCAATTTTATATAATATTAAAATTTAGCAATGAATCTTTTCTCATAGATCTATCAAAAACTATCTTGCGAATAAGATTTGTATATTGGTTACACATCAAATTCAATTTTTGCAAGATGCAACAAAAATTATTGTACTTAACAATGTATCATTTTGTAACTGATTGAAGTTTTTTGAATGAGTTATCAAATGTTATTTCAGGGTGAAATGGTACAAATTGGTACTTATACTGATTTGCTTGATTCATCAACATCATTTGCTCCTTTACTTGATGATATTCATCAATTTGAACAACAACATTCTATCGAACTTCATCAACAACAATCAATTATTAGTTCGACATGTTCGAATGTTGATGAAGAAATGTTGACATTTTCGAAAAATGTTGAAACAAAACAAAAGGGTGCAGTCAAATGGCATGTGTATATTGTATATTTAAAAGCTGGTGTTGGTATTATTATGGGTTTGTTCATCGTCATAATTCTATCATCTGTACGAGAAGCAACATCGATATTTAGTAATTGGTGGTTAGCAAAATGGAATGATGATGAAAGTTATCGATATCGAATTTCAAACAATTGTACAAGTATTCAAAATAATAATAATAATACTGTATGGTCGATGAGTAATGCAGAATGGAATAATTATCGAAATCGACGATTCTATATCTATTGTGGTTTGTATTCAATTAATGATCACATTTTTCGATATGTCAGATTTATATTTCTAGTAATCATATTTATTTTTGTGCTTATGACTCTTTTCCGTTCAATTATCACTAAATTCATGTTTTTAAATGCTAGTCGAGTACTTCATAATAAGTAATTATTTATTTTCAATATGACTTTTCTACGTTAATTTTTTGTTCATTTGAATAGAATGTTTCAGCGATTGATTCGATGTCCTATTGCTTTCTTCGACACAAATCCCGTTGGTAGGTGAAGTAGTAGTAAAACTAATTTCATTTCTTTTTACATATTCATGAGTATTGAATGACTTTTTATGATTTTATTTTACTGATCCCGTCGCTCAGATAGAGAAAAAGTTTCTGTGTCAAATGAAACTACTTATAATGCAATCGATCATATTGAGCTCTTGCGAAACGACTTGAATTTTTAACAGACAACGTTTTCAAATCATTCATTTCTTTTGAAAAAAGTTTTATCTTATCGAATGTTGCATCTTTAATGATGATATACTGCATTCTAAACTTAGCAAATACTTGTGAAACATTAGCAAACAATTCGTATTCACCGTTTTAGGACGAATATTGAACCGTTTTATTAAAGATGTGGCTACCATGGATGATCAACTACCAGTCGATATATATGATTTTCTCAACGTACGTAAATCATTAAAGTCTCTCATTTGTTTACATTGTTCTGCTATTCAGTGTTGCTTTCGAGTTCTAGGCACAGTAGTCCTAGTTGGTATGATTAATCCATGGTCATTTATACCAGCGTTGATATCACTCATTGGTTTATTATTTGTACGTTACCATTTTGCACCATGTTCTCGTGATTTAAGACGACTTGAAAGTATTACACGTAGTCCTATCTATTCTTATTTGACATCGACTATTCATGGTCTTAAAGTAATTCGATCCTATTATGCAGAAAATATGTGTTCGATTGAATTTTTCTCTCATCTCAATGATAATACACGAGCAAACTATCTTATCTATACAACCAATCGTTGGGTTGCACTTCGCTTCGATCGTGTTGCACTTAATTTCATTGCTCTAGTTACAATTCTCTCGATGATTCTACGCGTCATTGAATATCAATATTTTTCAACTGCTGATATTGCCGTAACACTCGCATATAGTCTCAGTCTAATGGGACTTCTACAATTGACGATTAGGTAATAACTAAAGAAACAAATCTAATTTCTACTTTAGATTATTATAGATTGTCAATCGATTTGGAAACAAGAATGACATCGATAGAACGTATACTCGACTACTGTTCCCTTGACGAAGAGCCTCCAGCTCAAGTTCCACGAAATCGTCGACCACCGTCAAATTGGCCATCACATGGTAGAATCGTATTCGATAATGTTTCTATGTCTCACTCGTCTGATAATCAGTCGTTACTTGCTCTACGTCACATTTCGATGACAATTGAAGCTGGTGAAAAAGTGGGCATTGTCGGAAGAACAGGTGCTGGAAAGAGTTCATTGATTCAAACATTATTTCGCATGGGAATACTTGTTAATGGTCAAATCAAAATCGACAATATTGATATTGCATCAATTGGCTTGGATGATGTTCGACGTCGAATTTCCATTATTCCACAAGATCCTGTTCTTTTTACGGGTACTATGCGAAGTAATCTTGATCAATTCAACGAATATTCTGATGGTGAAATTTGGCATGCACTTGAACAGGTCTTTATGACACCTTCAATTTAGTAATTCTTAACTTAAACTTATTTAAGGTACAATTGAAAACATTAGTTGCCGACAAAATGCCGAATGGACTTCATTCCATAGTGAGTGAAGGTGGTTCAAATTTGAGTGTTGGGCAAAAACAACTTGTATGTTTGGCAAGAGCTATTTTAAAAATGAGTAAAATTCTTCTCATTGATGAAGCTACTGCTAATGTCGACAATGTGTAAGTAAAATAAATCTTTATTAAAGTTATTGGTTGATAAAATACAATGTCTAGCACTGATGAATTGATTCAACAAGCTATTCGTGAAAAATTCAAAGAATGTACAGTTCTTACTGTAGCTCATCGTTTACGAACAGTGATCGATAGTGATCGTATTCTGGTAGGATAATTCAAATTGAAATTTTTCGTTTCAACTCTCTCTATCTTGAAGGTACTTGGTAATGGAGAATTACTCGAATTCGATTCACCCAAAGTTCTTCTCTCAAATTCTACTTCTCATTTTGCTTTACTCGTCGAACAAACAGGTGTAGCTGAGGCTGAATATCTTCGAATGTTAGCAAATCTGAAATCAACAAGAGGCAACCATCACAATCTTGATCAAGAACCATTACCGGATAGCAAAGAAACTGATCCTCTCCTAACATAGATTTTATTTACCTAAATACTATTGAATCCCATGTAGACGATTTTTCATCAGCTTTTATTATGATTTCGTCGACTTTGTTGATGCGCTTAAATGGAGCTTTTATTTATCCATTATTGGATAAAATTAAATAAACTGATGATGGCAAACTTTTCAAAAAGAAAAGTTCGAAAGTTAGGAGAATAAAAAATACGACAAATTTTTGAAATTTTTACAATTTTTATTCGAGAAATTTTTATGAAACACAACAATACAGCTTGCAAAGACTACAACAGATGTTGTCATAGTCCTATCCCTTAGTATGATAATTGATTGATACCACAGAACGAAACCGAATTGAGGTTCTTTCTAAAGGAGTCGAATCGATTCAGCAGTAATTTCTTCAATAAGTCTCAAACATTAGCAATAAAGCTCACCTTAGTGCAGGACTCATATTCTCTTTATGTAGTTTTGCAAACTGTATCGATCTCTTTGTGTTACAAGTCTACTAGGTCAACTATTGCTTATTGTTTATAAAAACAAAAGTCAGTTTCTATTGATTTATTTTAAGACAGATAATTTTAGAGGAAGCAAATCCATGTGACTACTTCTCTTTCCACATTTCTAGTAGAACTTTCTAGTTTTATGCAGTATTTAGAACTGCTAATGTTTCGCACGCTTTTTAGTCTACATATGGATAGAGTTTCATTATTGGTATAGTAGGTGTTGGTGCTTCGTCGAAAATATGATCGGGTGCAGTTTTCCAATCCTAACGTTGCAGAATTGATTCAATCAAGTTTAGAGATTACTAACTGCAACACAGATCTAGGAATTGAAATAGACTTTAAGTGAAATTAGAAGTTTATGTACTCATTTTCATAATATCTCTGTCTTCCTCCAAGTAGATGATACCTATAGCAGCGTTAATTATCCAGGTCAAAAGTGTTCATTTAAATAAATAAATTTTTCTTTGTTTTTGTTTAGATCAATCTCAATAACAAAAGGAAAGGTAATTTTATACTATTTACGGCCAGCACGAACGACAGTGAATAGTACTGATTAGCCTAGTCGGATGTCCCAATTCTTTTTTTATCATATTATTTCTATAATGTATAGACCATCCACACTCTCTATCTTTTCTAGAGACTCAAGAGAAGAGAAACACTTTTATTTATTATTCGAAATTTTTCATTATCTCAAAACATTCACAAGAATACTTATAATTCTGATCAAATCCCGTATTATCAGCGATGGAAATGCACTGAGAACAGGTTAACACTTGGGTAGACTCAGTTTTTAAAAGTTGTCAGAAAATAGCATTTAAACTTCTAACGAAGGACGACAATAGATTGTTTGCAAAATTTATGTCATCGAGGTTATGGCTTCCAATGCATTTAACTACCTTATTAATATATCCAAGCAATTTGTTTCTGTGTTCTGTTCTCATCTGTTGAAAAAGTGAACTACTACAGTGCAGAAGCAATTAAATCGGCAATGATTTCTGTTACTGTTGTCG